TTTACCCACTTTCGGTTATTTTTAAACATCTCTACAACACATCAAAACTCACGCCCTGTCTGGAGTTCACGGGTCACCCGCAATCTAAAAACGGCATTGTTAACTGGTCTATAATCCCTGTGTAGAGACCAATTACAGCAGAGTCAATAAAAGCCACATTCAAATACCAGCCATGTTTGCATTTTTCCATTCAACAGTAGCTGGATCACTAGCAAGAATTATTATGTACTGTATATTGTTCATTTCCTCGCACCTCATTACATTTATAATCGTGCCATGGAGTGATAAGGTCAGTGCTCTGCATTGTTAAAGGGTTTGTAAACTGTTACCTTCCCAAATACAGCAATCAACCCAAAGCCTCAAGACAAGGATTTCACACAAATAAAAACAATTGTACTAAAAATAATAGGTTACACTTTATTTTAAGGTGTCATTGTTACAGTAATTATATTTAAGTACTGAGTATTATGAACTTCATGTAGCTACTTCCGGGTTAGGGTTTGGTTGAGGGTTAGTTGCATGTAATTATGCATAATGTTCTGTTATTACTATAGTAAGTATGTAACGTGTAACAAGGACACTGTAAAACAAAGTGTTACCAGACAATATATTAAGAAACGGTTACACGTTATTTTAATGTCGCTGTTACAGTGTAATTATACATTTAAGTACTGAGTAATAATAATTAACTACAGACTTACTATAGGGTTAGGATTAGGGTTTGGTTTAGGGTTAGGTGCATAGTTATGCTAATTTAAAAGTGAGAAACAATAGGCTATACGATAATCATGTTTTAATTTAACATGATATAAATGATTGTTGTAATTATTATTAGTGATTTTAGAAGTAGTAGTAGCCTATATCAAATTAATAACTAAATAATAATAAAATTTCTAATCTAATGCCTGGGTTAAAAATTTATGGTATGTTGATCTGGCTTTTTTTTTTTTTTTTTTTTTTAAATGTCACCTTCATAAATGCTTGAATCCAAATCATAGTCAACTCAATTGCATCTGGTTCGGTAAATTTTTCGCAATAAGAACTGGCTTTATCTTAATTTTAAGTAATGAGCAGCACTGTAATGGCGAAATCAGTAGCTGCAGTGTAATATTATTATGAGCTTATATCTGTTTTTATTAATACGCCTGTCAACAAAAAATGGTTAATACCAGAGTATAACACACGCGCGCGCGCGCACGCACACACACACACACACACACACACACTCATATATATATATATATATATATATATATATATATATATATATATATATATATATATATATATATATATATATATATATATATATATATATATATATATATATATATATATATATATATATATATATATATATATATATATATATATATATATATATATATATATATATATATATGAAACCCTGGAGTCTATACACTAAAGAAAATCCCTCGCCAGTCAAATTCTCGAGCTGTGTTGAGACAGGGTGACGGGAGAGAAGAGGTTAATCCGTCTTTAATGCAGTGATGGTCCACACTCTGATGGTAATGTTATCTCTGCCCAACATTTGGGTCTCCTACAATTTCAGCCCAGCCAAAATAGCTGCAAGAAAGTGCAGATGGAGTCACTCTCGACGCCTGAGGAGAAAAAATATTAATAGCTAAATAACTTCCCCTTACTTTCACTTAATCTTCCTCTCTCTCTCTGTGTCCCTGTAACATATTCTATTCCAGATTGATTTGTTTAAAATGTCTCCCTATGCTTCTCTTTCAGCGCGGCTTTAGGCTCGAAAGTATCTGCTTTATTTTTTATATGTGAAGCAAGAGAGAGAATGCCCTGCTGGTGCGCGTGTAGGGCGCATAAACCAAAACTACGTGAAACCGCTCTTTTCCAGAATATTCTCCTCTTGCTTTATCATAGGAAAATGTTGCATTTTAAATGCATTTTTTCTGTTTTCTTCTAAATATCGCTGAGTTCGTGCACACTCTGTAGCTTACAATAGGCATCAGACTGAGTGAGTCCCCGGCATCAGACTGCGCAACGCTCACAGCCATCTCGCCTACAGGTTTTTGATCACCATTATCCCATAACAACACTCCTAAACCCCTGACTGAAGTCTGTTTGATTAGTCTGAAAACCTCAGGTAATCCACAGATTTGCTGAAGTGTCCAGTGCCACTCTCACAAATGGACGCGCGCTCGCGTTTAACTGGTGCTCCTCCAGACAAAAAGAGCACCAGGTGAGCTGTCAGACGCGGGGCTGTAACCCATTAAACACTAATTAAGTTTGGCAGGTTTGTGCTAACTCTGCTGTCGCTCATCATATTTTTTATTTCCGTAACGAGGATGGCAGGTGCACAAGATTATTATTATTGTAATGGCCACTAAACCAAATGTGGAAGTCATGGTTAAGGCTATTAAGGTTAGGCACTTGGAGATGCTCAGGGTGGAGGCAATTTAGACCAAAAAAGACAAAATATGTTTTTAAAAAGTTTGTCATATGGCAAAAAAAAAAAAAAAATCCTACAAGATTTTTGTACCTAACTAGCCTACTGCGTGATCAGCCTAACAAACACAAGCCACCAAATAAGTAAATAAAAAGTTGCATGTATTTTATATGCAGCAAGAAGTCAAACAAAATGTAAAAATTTGAGTTCTGACTTTTTTGATTAACTAGATTGTCCAATGCGTAATTAATTTAAGACCCTATAAACGCATGCAATAAATAAATAAATAATGTATGTTGTATACACCAACATGTTTACGAGATTCCATCAATGTAATAATGTTTGCATGCATTTTGTATGCCAAAAATGTCAGCAAAAATGAAAAATTTGAGGTCTGACTTTTTTTTATTTAGTCTTTGTAATCAATTTAACACCTTATAAATGAATGAATAAATAAATAATGTATGTTGTACACCCCAAAAAGGTTTACAGGAACCTATCAATGTAAACATGAAACATAAAAAATAAATAAAACACAAATAAATAAATAAATGTTTGCATCTATTATGTATGCCACAAATGTCAACAAAAAGAAAAAATGTGAGATTTTTTTTTTTTATATGTAATCAATTTAATACCTTATAAAGACATAAATAAGTAAATAAATAATGTATTTTGTATTAAAAAAAAAAAGTTTGCAAGCATCCATCAATGTAAATAAATAAATACCAGATCATATAAAATAAACACAAAATCTCATGAATTTACGCCCTGGGCGAGTCACTGTGAGCCGTTTAGAGATGAAAGTGAAAAGAAATAAAGGGGCTCAGTTTAATCAGGGCTTAAAAGCTCTTCTACATTAGGGTTTGTGCGCGAAGAGCTGCTGGAGGATCAGTGTGTTTCTCACCGGTGCCTGCGAGCTCTTACACTCCTCAGCGACACAGACGCCCATTCAACACACCGCAGCTCTAATAGTCTTAACATTATTAAATGTTATCCGGATGGTAAACTTAAAGAATCCCTTCAAAGAATTTAACAGTGAATTCAGTGTTTGTGCCGAAGATGAGACACTGGAAATGACAGATTTATGGAATCATTAAACCAGAGATGACGCACTCACAGCATTCCCAACAACAACTACAACCAGTGGACAGCGACAGAAACAGCGGGGTTGGTTTTCATGCACTTGTTTAAAAACGAATATCAGTTTCGCCCTGTGTATAAACGCATATCAAAATATTTATGAATTAAGTATAACTCTGGCATAATTTAGATCATGCAATTAGGAGAAAACAGAAATAATTATTTAACAAATGAATTCATATATCATTCTATAGCAATTAAAGAAACTCAGATATGTGCAAACGAAGCTTTACTTTGTCTTAAACCAACTGCGCAGTTACGCGCAACTAAACCCGCACAAAAGACGTCGTTTTGCACCATGAAATGTTGAGCTTACAATTCTAAACGCTCCTTCATATTACAAAACTATCTAGCAGCAGGGAGCACTGAATAATTTATCTGCCTTTCTTTTCTTATACCCTTTGTACAAAGTTTTCCCCTCTTTTCTGGGATCTTTGAATGGGGGTCATCGGTCCAGTTACTCTTTTTTGCTGCCCGGCTCCAGTGCTTTTTCTCTTTTTGTATCTCAGTCTAAAGGTTACAAAGGCTTAAAACGAGATTGTTCATAACCACGTTTGGGGGAAGAAAAGGCAAAAGCGTAATGTGACCTGTTATAAAAACAATATTAAATACATTAGTGCATTATTGCAATAGTACAAATATGACCTTTTAGAATTCTAATATTATATTTCGAATTAAAATAGTAGGTTTAATTATAGCTACATATATTATGGCCAAAAAATTAAATATTAATATAATAATATATTAATATGTCCGAAAATATGAAGTCTATAATATAGTTTGCTATAGTTGTGCAATTCAATTAAAATGTTTTCAAATACATATTTTCAATTCACAATATGAAGGTCATGATAATATAATATAATATAATATAATATAATATAATATAATATAATATAATATAATATAATATGTATAAATGCAAAATGTTGCCAAAACAAGTCCCTCCACCGGGTCCACATGTCCCGCGTAATGTAGTTGCTTAAACTGACATCGATTCTCAAATGGGTCAAACTGTCAGTTGTCGTTTAGGGGGTCGTTAAAACGCAAGGGAAATGGAATGTGCCACACAAATTAATTTACCAGGCTAAATACCTGACGTCAGGGCTCACATAAATAATTGAGTAAGTACCGAACAGCTAGTAGCATGAATAATGAGAGCTATTTGTGCCATTTTTTTTCCAAGGGGGCGCACAGATTCCCCCTGGCGAGAATGAAGGACTGCAGCATCTGTCCTTTTCAAATAACTACTTAATGAAATATCAATTGCAACAGCAGCACCAATTATAGCACCAGTCCATCATGATCTGTCAGTGCAACTGATCCACACCTCAAAAAGCAGAGTTCGCGTTTTAATACACAACTTTTACGCACCACGTTTCCTCGCATCTTTTCGCACACAATGAGAAATGTAAAGGCCTCTGACCTTTGTCCCCGAGAATCCCATCGATGCTGTGTTTGGTTTTCTTTTCTCCGTCTTCATCTTTTTTATCACAGTCGTCATCGTCATCTTTCTTGCCAAAACGAGCTCTCAAAACCCGACTAATGGAGCTAACTATAAAGAGAGATAATAATCACTGTAACGCCCAGTGTAACAATCATAATGTGATCATTTTTTTTTTGTCATTTATAGATATCCGAAATCCAAAATTCCAAATTTAATCAGAACCGAATATACAGAATGATCCATTATTTAAAAAGATGCAGTGAAATGCGTAACGTCCTCTAAATGTCAGTAAGAAAGAAATGGTGCTTACCGGAAGAGGCCTCACCTGAAGGAACCGTGCCTCTGTCACACACCCCGTCCTTCAGCAACTTATCCCGGATTTCCCAGCTGAACATCCCGGGGTTCTCGCGTTTGTATTCCTCGATTCTCTTTTCAACGTCGGGTGTTGCAACTTGCTTTAGTATAGAACAAAAAAAAAAATGTGGAGGCGGAGAAAACACAGGGAGAAGAAAGAAATGCGCATTCTGTTTACTATAAATCCTTCGTTTCCATATAGATTTAAGAACTTTTTTAATAAACTCTCCATTGCGAAATGTTTGAGGGTGAAATCGTTCACTCACCCTGGGTTTGCTTCCACCTATTGCTCCCGGACGAATGGAGCCGGTCTCCTGGTACCGACAGAGGATTTTGGACACGCAGCCGTGTGAGACCCGCAGTTGTCTGGAGATCACACAGGGTCGGATGCCGTGATGGGCCATTTCCACTATTTTGTGTCGGATATGATTCGGCAGAGGCCTTCCGTTGATGAAAACTCCACCGAGCTGGTTCACTCGACCTTGACCCAGAGGCGTTGAGACTGCGGGAAAACATTCAGGCCCAAAAAGGGCGATTGAAAGAAGGAAACAATAGCATACTCTGTAAGATAGAGAAAGTAACACTTTACAATACCCATGTTAACTGTGCAATTAAATTTGTGATATTGATGACCTAAATCTACATTTTGTTGAACATCTTGCAATTACGCAGTTTTGTGCAACGTAAAATTACACATAATGTTGTCAAAACACAAGGCTACTTTACTTGTGGACTAGTTTTGAGGATAAACTCACAAATTCTGTGAGTCATCTAGGCTTTGCACCGAATTTATCACAAAAACATCTACATGCTGTCATTCTGATTAATCATATCACATCAGCTAATATCATTTATCACGTAATCGTGCGTAACGCCTTGTGTTTATTGGAAGATGCGAATGATGATTAATCAAAGCCTGCAGAATCAATCCAAAAAAATCTCATTCTCACACATTTTCTTTCCTGAAAGAATCCCTCTATACTATCAGCCTATCTGATGCGTTAGGAGAGGATGTAACACTTGAGGACACTAATTGCCATTCAAGAGGCACTAAAGATGTGCCACTTTAAACCTCGATTATTCCCAGTCATGCAACACAAATATTAGTGTGATGCTTTGAGCCAGTTTTATTTCCCTTCATTGCTGCGAGATACTTCTGCAAATCCCACAGATTGCCGGATTCGTGGGTTGGAAGGCTTTCGTCAAACTGCTCTTAAGCACGAATTCACTCGATAGGAAAGACGTTCCCATTTAATGCGCGAGCTGCGTATGGAAATCATACGTCCAGACTGGAGCATTTTACTCATAATGCTGCCAGAAAAATCTCTTTGTTGTCAATTATTAAATCACTGATTTCATAACTATGAACTGTGCTATTTTTTTTAACTCTTGTTCGGTCATATTTCAGATTATTTCGTTTCTTTAATCGTATCACTATCGCGTAAAAGAGTGCTAGACAAAAAATATCTATTTTTTAATTCTAAAAAAACTCAGTATTTTAAAATTATAAATAGGCCTATGTGATGTAATTTTTTAAATAATAATAATAATAATAAGAAGAAGAAAAATAAGTAGTTTTCGTACCTTCTAATGGGAATCCGGTTCTGGGGTAGTTCTGGCCTGGAGCTGGCCGCATCATTCGAGGAACTGTTCCTGGTAAAGTAGCCATTCCAGCTACTCCCAAAACTATTGAAACTCTCACTAATAAATGAAAGAAATCAATCACACGGAAAGCTCCAGTGTTGTTTGCGCCGTGGAAACTGTAACGGATCCAAAGAATTTAAAAAGAAATCCAAACACACACACACACACACACACGCACCAGTGGACAATGCCCAGTGTGCAGAAGAAAAGTTGTTCTTACAGTGAATACCCAAAAACAAGAGCAGAGTAAAGCATGCAATGTGTTCTGAAGCAACTGTGAGTAAATATTAGTGAGAGGATCTGCTAGTTGTGATTACAGCTGCTGTTTGCTGCTGAGAGGAGTTTAAGTGGCCAACTTTGGCGCACATAGTGGGAGGAGGAAGCGCGCGCTGCCATAGGCTCTTCGGCACTCTTTTACAGCACGGAGAGGAAGGGTAATGCCCGAGATCTCTCGTCCAATCGGGAGGAACTTTGCAGAAAACACACAAGCGCACTGCCCTCCCACTCCCTCTAAATCAACACAGGAAATGTTACAATGAGTTTTCATTCATCTCTCATTTGAACTGAAACGTCAGTTTAGTGCGTTGGACTCTCTCTGTAGACACACACACACACACACACACACACACACACACACACACAATATATATTTAATATAATATAATATTTTATTTTATACAAAAAACTACTCTTGAAACAATAAAACTAACATATTTGTATGCCATCGTAGTGGGAAAATCTGTGTGATCCTAAATGTGTGCATTGGGAAAACCATTGTAATCGTGTATTTTAACTTGACATTTGTGAATATATCATAACTTACTATTTTTATTAATAGATTCACAGTGTGCAATTATGTTTATCATCATTATTAAATAAGATAAAGTGATTTTGAGTATACAGGGGGAAAAGAGCAACACGGCAGATATCCATCAATTTGCAGTGTTGCATCATGAAGAATCTGATTCTAATTGTTTTGTGTAAATAAAGAACAGAAAGTTCAGCACAGTTATACCTGAGGTCAGAGACGGTCATGATGATGCACAAGAACTGATGAAGATGAAGAGACTTGGCCTGAAACATTTGACATATTCAATATAGAATAGACTGAATAGTTAATAATAATACCTATATTAGAAAAATAAAAGATATATGACAAGAATACATTTAACCTGGATATAGAGTTGTACTCTATGGTTCTTTAGAGATTGAAAAAGTTGGTTACACTTTATTTAAGGTGTCTGTGGTACAGTGTAATAATACATTTAAGTGCTGAGTAATATTAATTAACATGTACACTGTAATAGGGTTTGGTTTAGGGTTAGTTGCGTGTAATATGAACAGTTTGTAGTAATTACAGAAACTAAATGTAGGCTAACTTGTGTAACAAGGACTGTAAAACAAAGTGTTTACCAAAAAGCCAATATTTCAAAGGTTCTTCCGTACAGATGCTTTTTCTGAACAACTAGAAAATGTTCATTATGATCGAAAAAAACCCTCGTGACTCTAGCTGAAACTTCATTTTATGAGTGTAAGTCACTTCACCTGTTTTTCCCGGAGACCTGGGAGTCGTTTAACAGCACATGTGATAAAAATCCTCCAGAATCTTTAGGTTGAATGGCTGTGCGCGTGTCCGGCTCTGTGGGACCGCCGCGCGCAGAGATTGTGTGGAAATTGCCGTGGCGAACACTCCTGGTGGAAAGCAATTTCACAAATAATTTTTACAACAATTAGGGAGTGTGGCGGGGTGAAATGGCGATTTCACATGCAGATGTTCCGGTAGGGAAGGACCTGGTGCCCGGCAGCGGAGCTCTAACCCTCAGTGTCCGGCTCTGGTGAGCAGCGCGCGGGTCAGAGACGCACCGGTGATAATAGGTAACTATCAAAACAGAACTTTAGGATTTAGTCAAAAAATTTATAGTAATCTTTTCAAAATTACACAACCGCACACTAACCCTTCTCTCCCCATACATCATTTTGTTACAACATTGACTTTCCAAAGTGCATATAATTAAAGGTATTCATAAATTGATTATTGAGTTTCTTGTGTGCACTCAAATTTGTTATAAATCATCTCTTTTATTTCTGCAACTTTACACTCTAGATCTTAAGATCGTTCTGCAAACAAGTTAGAATAGGACATGCCGGTAAAAAAATGCTCAGATTTCTTTCCAGAGACACTCAAAAGTGATGTCATGGATAATGTTATGAAAACATGAAACTTTAAAGTTAATATCCGGTTGACTTGAGCGTGGATAATTTATAGGTTACCTTTGAGTCGATTATTTATAGAGCATATATTTCAGCTTTAAATGTCTGTTTTTTATTTAAACATATTTGTCTAACTACCATCCTGCAATATCGTCTAAAATTGTTCTTTTAAAAGTATACAAAAAAGGGTTTTCTTCATCTGAACATTTAAAAACCAGCGTTATTGTTTTAAGAGTGTATAAACTGGTTTCAAAATCAGAATCAAAAGCTTAATATCAATTTAAGTAGAAGAGTCATTGCAAATAAGTCCAAAGAAGAACAATAATTTAAAGAAAAACAATGTGTGAAAAATAAAATAATATCCAATATCCAACACTTCTCATTGCAATATCGCATGGAGAGTATTGCCACTAGAACTACCTAAATAAAGCCTAAAGAATATATGGATTAATTGTGCATTAATTATTTAATTATTCAAAACCTGAAATAAAGCGAAAACACCTGCACAATATTTTTACAGCCCTTGACAATATTGGACTGAAGAGGCATTCACTCCATGTGTAAATGAATGTGTGTCCACTAGCAGGCGATATAGGTTAACTATGTCACATAAGATGTTGCAAATCTGGTTTTACATCCTTCTTGCAATGGAAACATTTTATAAGAACAACACATGAAGCATGATACTATCAAGTGCACCTGGTTACTGGCGCATTAGACGTTCCTTGAACGTAAAACCCCTTTCTTAAAGGAAAGGGGTTTTATTTATGTCTTTCTTAAAGGGGTTTTACGTTTTTATTTTATTTTAATTTTTTCTTTGATATTGACATTGTGCGAACTTGTTTTCATGTTTGTGAAGCACTTTGTGTTGCATTCCATGTATGAAAAGTGCTATATAAATAAATGTTTATTATTATTATTATTATTATTATTATAAAGGGACAGTTCGCCCAAAAATGACAGTTCTGTCATCATTTTCTCACCCTCGTGTTGTTCCAAACCTGTAATAATTTATGTCTTCTGTTGAACACAAAAGAAGATATTTTGAAGAATGTTGGTAATCAGACAGTTGATGGACACCATTGACTTCCATAGGGGAAAAAATACTATGGAAATCAATGGCTGCAGTCAATGTTTGATTACCAACATTCTTCAAAATATCTTCTTTTGTGAATCAAACAAATTGAGGGTGAGTGAGTGATGACAAAAAAAATCATTTTTGGGTGAACTGTCCCTTTAAAGGCAAAAGCAATGGGGAAAAGAAATGCTGAAATGCTTCCCCCTTCCTGACATTTAATTTCTTCTTTCACTTCCATCTTCGAGTCCTGAAAATAAACCAGAACAGACTCATTGTTATGGCTCTCTGTTTTGTAGTAATTTTCTCAATCCCAGGAATATTTGGTCTTTGTTAAAATTGGGTAACCTGCTGGATCTGTGTGTGTGTGTGTAGACACTGGACGAGCTCCAGACTTTGCTGGCAGGTTTGAGAACCGGTACACAAACCGCAGCCCGGTAGGCCTCTTCCTCTCTCCTTCATGCTGTCCACACTCCCCACGGACTCTTGTTAACTTGCTAAGGCATGTTCACATCTGCGGAGAATTATCACAATGTGTTATTGCTTACCAAGTAGAATTATTTTATCAGACGGAGAGAGTGAAAGTGTGTTGAGTTGCGTGTGTGAACAAGGTCGCTGGTAACTTCACAGTTTCTATCGCTATGAGAAATGACACGTGACATGCACATGGAAAATTAAAATCTTTCAGAGATATATAAGTTATATCAACTATATCAAAATTTAACTCAATCTCAACTTGTGCTACCCACCCCACTCCAATGTTTTCAAAAACAGCTATTTCTACTGGTTATACCTTGGATTTAATACTGTAAATTTACAGATAAATATAGCTACCAATGCTGACTAAAAAAAAATCCACTTTTACTAAAAAGCAAAGCAAAGTAGAGAGAGAGAGGACCAAAAGGGTATGTTAAACTGCAATTTAAACACTAAACTGTTTTAGTTGATAATGCATAACCTAATTTTTAAGGTTACCTAATAAAAAAAAACCTAATTAGCATGCTTTTGCATGGACAAGCACACAAATTTCTACAGAAAATTCTAATTGTATTTTGAAAAATCTACTAAAAGAGTAGATTTTTCTAAATATAATTAGAATTTTCTGTAGAAATTTGTGTGCTTGTCCATGCAAAAGCATGCTAATTTATGGCTGATATGGGCTGCGTCCAAAATCACATACTCTCAAGTATCTACTATTATTACTTCATGGCCGCTAAAAAAGTATGTTCTATATAATATGAATTTAATCTGAACACTCACCATGTTGTCACTGTCATGTGACCTACCGGTGTCACTTCACTGCCTTTCACAAATCCTTTCCCGTGGCCTCATGGGATACTAAAGTGTCCATCGTATGCACACTCAGAATCTTTCCAGAAGTCTGTGAGAGCACTGTGAATTCAGACATACTCTTGTCGCATACTGATTTTTTGCCAACTATATAGTAGGGTAGTATGTGGTATTTCGGATGCAGCCATGGTCTCTTGATAAGTCCCTCCTTCAATGTAAGTTTTTTTTACCCATGCATGTTTTCATCCACCTCACTTCTTGGTGAAAGGTGAAATCAAAACCAAAAAATGTGCAGCCTTTTGTGTTGCATCTCATGTTCACATCGTTTTGAAGTTTCACTTTTCCCAAGTGCAGTTTTTGAAAAGTAGATGTTGCAATTCCTTTATATGGAAGGCACTAGTATACACTCCCATGCCTGGAAGCACATGCATCTGGAGACTCCCCCCTCTGACAGGCTTTAGAGGAGCGCAGTAGGAGGCCGGCTGGATTGCAGAGATGGAGTGGAGTGGAGGAGAAGAACCCCTCGTGTTTGAGGGGACTCCTTAAGGAACACAGGAATGTGGGGGCCGATCAAGGCGAGCTGCAGACGTCTTAGACACTTATTGGTAAACAGCAGTTGAAAAGATAGTCCTCTGCATTGCCAGAATGCCTTATCACCTAAAAGCAGACGTGTCACCTGTCTTTGTCATTTAAATACAAAGATATTTCAAACGAATCTTGCTTTAATGTATAAATATGAATGGAATGTCAGGGCGCTTCTTTAGACCACGATTAGAGTGAGCAATGAAAAAGTAGCATAATTTAGCTATAAGTGATTGTAGAAATTCACCCACAGAATCCAATATGGCTTTATAAAGTCAAGAAGCCAATGCCCTGCACTAATAATCCTCAAAATGTGCTAAGACATGAAGCGCAGATATTGACCTATTGGCCCATAGCAACATTAAACTCTATCCAAAGCAACTTCCATTACCAGAAGTGCCCAACAGAAGAACAATTTAGCTTTGTCTGGTAGCTTTGTTTCTTTTCTTTTTTTTGTAATATCATTCATCAGGTTATTTTTTAAATAATATTTACACTGACTAAAATGACCTGAGATCAACCCAAGTGCATGTTTCAATTACAACATGCTCATGAATATTTTAATTACATTTTATCTCGCAAATGAAGTGCCAATTATGAATTCTGTCAAACACATTCCAGTGCCAGAAAGAAACTAACAATATGAAAAGCATGAAACATTTGGTTCAGTTTCATTCAATTGCATCCGACTATTGGTGATTCTATAAGCCATCTCTTGCCATACGTGAGAGATTGTCCATGAGTTTTCTTGGCGATGATTTTCCGGGGTAGGTCGCCAGGTGTTTCCCTGACCCTTCCCATTACATGGCTTGGGACTCACACACACACACGTATTCACACCTACGGACAATTTAGCGCCTCCAATGCACCTATACTGCATGTTTTTTGTTTTTTTGTGTGTGTGGGAAACCGGAGCACCGGGAGAAAACCCATGCAGACACAGGGAGAACATGCAAACTCCACACAGAAATGAACATTTTTCTTTGAATACAGCAATCTAAATCTATCTAAAGTTAGACTTTAGGGTTAGAAAAACATATTGCAGCGGGTAAATCCTCTGTAAAGGAGCCATTGCTCTGCCCAGAACACCATGGACATTAAACTGATATCAAGATCTATTGACCCAAATTAAGATCCTGCTGTGTTCCTGATTACCCCTTTTGACATCCTTGTGGTGGGATAAAATTTCAATTTTCTTAAAAATGAGCCCCTTCTGTTCAGTTTCTTTCTTTTTAACAAAAAAAAATCAAAAAAAAAAATCAGATAAGAACACTGTTGTGTCACATATATATAAATCTAAGATTTAAAATCCAAAAAAAAAAAAAAAAAAAATCGAAATCAAGTTTTAGGATTTCTAAATAAGAAATGTTATAAATGAATAGATTTAATTCAGTTAAAAAAAGAAAGAAAAAAAAACATATAGCTGTATTTCTAGATTACTACTAAAAAAAGCACATTTGTGACATCACAAAGAAAAATAATACATATACAGTCTTAAAAATAAAGGTTCCTAAAGGTGGTTTTCGCAGCGATGCCATAGAAGAACCATTGTTTGTTCCCCAAAGAACCTTTCAGTCAAGCGTTCTTACAATAACCCTTTTTTTCTTAGTGTGAATAACATTCGAACAATCTAAAGAACCTTATGTGGAATGGAAAGGTTCCATGGAATGCCGACAAAGAACCTTTATTTTTGAGAGCGTAGATGCTCTTTTCAGCTTTTTTATCATGGTAGTTTATTTGTCATTCAAATGTGAAGAATGCCTCAGATGTATTGCACTCCATTCGCTAGATTTATGTATGTTTTTGAAGAATACGACCTTGGTTTTCTACAAAACTGTCTTTGTGATCTCAGGGAAACTTCAGACGAACAGACAGGCTATAGGGCCATATCCTCTTGCGTCCTGCGAACTGAAGTCTGACCTCTTGAACTTGCGCGCTCAAACAGGGCCTGGACACTCCAGAGTGTGATCAGGTCGCGACCCAGCAGGGAGGTCACAGTGAGTTAAGTATCTTTCTTAAACGTAGGGGTGAGAGCTCTTATCTTTAATGAAGTGTGACTATCCTGCGCTGCCACTGTCTGGCCTGACCGCCCTCTCGGCTAAAGGCACGCTATGAAGAGGAGACGAGATCTCATCTAATCTGCCCGACTCCAAAAAAAAAAGAAGGCTTTTACGTCCATAAAGCCCTTCAATGGGAATGATGTGTTTCCATCATCCTCCAGGACCAATCTACGTATACAAGGCCACTCAAACTGATCTGATCGTGGCATCTCTGGAATCGTTCTCTCATTTCTTTCATTTACAGATGCCACATTCACATGCAAATTGCTGGACGAAGGCCATTTACTAAAGTTTATGGTTAAGATAAACGTAAGATTTCATCAAGAAACAAAGTGAAATGGTTTGAAGTTGCAATGTTACAATGTTAAAATCTATTATTTTATGAATAATAGAATAGAACCTAATATTTTACTTAATTGCAATACATTCAAATGGTTTGACAGTGGTTTGCTAAAAAATGCTGGGTTGTTTCAACCCAAATTTGGGTCAAATATGGACAAACCCAAATGTTGGGTTAAAAATGGAATTAAAAAAACGTACAGTTGAAAGTGAAAGTTGAAGTTGGGTTAAGATTTTAAATGACATTTTTAACCCAACATTTGGGTTTGTCCATATTTGACCCAAATTTGGGTTAAAACAACCCAGCATTGTTTAGAGTGTATGCATAACTGTAATATCATGAGCACTTCAGTTTGGTCAATGCCGATGTTTGGTTTACATGCCATTAATGCATATTTAATATTTACTTACCCAATCAAGAGTTTTGACATTGCTAGTGTGGAAAATGCGCTATAACAGTTTCTGTTTACACCCTCTGATATAGAAGCGGAGACCCTGTAAATCAAACATTCATTAAAAGTTACAAACATGAATGTATAAGCTTATGTTTTGCTCTTAAATAAAAGAGTCATGAGACTCTTACAAACCTTAATCACATGTGATAAACACACCGAGATGTCTTAATCAGTTAGCATCCCTCTTTTCACCAGAATGAAGGAAACTCTCTGTTTACCCATGATGAAAGTGGCAGGATCCATTTTGCATGCAGTCCGAATTAGTTTCAGTGAATCCATCCACAAGCCCATGACAGATAAAACAGATCATTTGATCCATGACTCGTGAAGCCAAACTCTCTTCACCCTGTAAGATAACAGATCACATGCTCACACTTAAAACAGTCACATCTGTAAAACAGACTGTGAACGCAGGTATATAATATCTGTTATATTAATGAGGAGCGCCACAACAGTTCCCTTAACTGGATAGTCTCCAAGCTTGAATCATAGTAAATGTCCAAAGAAGGCCTTTAAAATAAGCATCAAGCTACTGAACATGTTGGGCCGTTTTTTGTGACAACTTGCCCCATGTAGCTGGTATCTTGTGTAGGAACACAATTATGAAACACAGCAATTCATGAAACAGCAAAAATAAAAAAGGTTGCATAAAAAAAAATTAATCCATTGTTTTGGTCAACAGATATTGTAAGTAATAAATTCAGCCCGTTCTCATCCCACGGCGTCATGTAACTGAGCTTTTGACCATGCGTCAACATGCCGACGCACATGGTACCCCTTAAGAGACGCGCCTCCTAGTGGTCTAACCCTAACCCTACCCCAGACCTAAACCTACCCATAAGGGAAGCGTCATCTAACTGACGCTAAAGGGTGCCATGTGCGTCGGATTTAGACGCATGGTCAAAAGCGTCAGTTAGATGACGCCTGAGGATGAGCGTCTCATATTGACGCTTAAAGGGTACCATATGCGTCGGCATGTTGACGCATGGTCAAAAGTGTAGTTAGATGACGCCTTGGGATGCGAATGTGTTGATAAATTGTATAAAATTGCAAGAAAACACGTGACAACTTGCCCCAACCAGACCTTGTCAGTTCAATCATTTGTTTAATATCAATCATCATTATACTCTATATACTGTTACATACGGTACATTAATTTTATGTCAATGTGGTTACTAACTCATATTAGCACAAACATGATGGTGTTTGAATCCAACATTTAAAACAACTACTAAAACAACAAAAACATTTGAGCATTTGAGTCAAAATCTTATATTTACCAAAATATAGTCCATAACCAGCTTCTGTCTCCTCCACACCATAATGTTAAAAAAGCAGATTAAAACCATTACGATGAAATGGTGGCATATAATGAGTCAATCATCTTCAGTTTGGATTGTATTTATGATGATGGGCATAATAGATTCGGTGGATTTGCTTGTTTTCTATTCATTCTGGGGTTTATTTTTCACTTAAATAAATATTAAATTGATATTTGGTACAGGAACAGTGGATTAAAGTTGCTTGAAAACTAAAACTGAAGGTCTAAAAAGCATTTATTTATACATTATCAGCCGATTTATGTTCTCTGCTGTGGTCTTATAGCGAAGATTATCAACTTATTTACCACTAATTACAAAACTTCTAAATGATTTGACACTGGCTCAACCACTTACACTTATCATATAAACATAGTATATAGAGGGAATATCAAAATCTTGTTGCTTTAAACAGACCTTGTCCTTAAGTGAGGAATTCTCTTTTTTTCTGGTGCGTTATCTGGTCATCCGAACAAGCTGGACAGGACAGTCACGGATGATTACGGCCTTAAAAGCTTGTCTTATGGTCCACAGGAGCATGAGATCTTCACAAGAGCATCAGACACACGTGAAAAGAATGGGAGTTTTCAGCTCAACTCTCTCTGCTGATCCACCATAAAAGATGCATTTGGTTTGCCCTGCATCTGGATCTGTCCATTCACTATTTATTCATTTAAATACTTACTTCAACTTTCCAGGGCAAGTTTAATGACGATAAACTTTATAAAACAGTGATGTGGGAGTACACCAACTTAGAGCTGGGCTTTTCCATGCTGGTGTGACAGCCAGGAAAAGGGTGAAAATATATACAGTACCGGTCAAAATTTTGGAAATATTACTATTTGTAATGTTTTTGAAAGAAGTCTCTTATGCTCATTCAGCCTGCATTTATTTAAATCAAAAATACAGATAAAACATATACTATTGTGAAATATTATTACAATTTAAAATAATGGTTTTCTGTTTTAATATACTTTAAAATATAATTTATTCCTGTGATCAAAGCTGAATTTTCAGCATCATTACTCCAGTCTTCTGTGTCACATGATCCTTCAGAAATCATTCGAATATGATGTATTATCAATGTTGGAAACAGTTGTTAATAACATACTAACAACAATTATGTTAACAGTTGTGCTGCCTAATATTTTTACAACCTGTGATACTTTTTTTCAGGATTCATTGATGAATAAAAAGTTCAAAAGAACAGCATTTATTAAAAATAGAAATCTTTTGTAACAATATACACTATCCTTCAAAAGTTTGGGGTCAGTAATTTTTTTCTTTCTTTTTTGAAAGAAATTTATATTTTTATTCAGCAAGGATGTGTTAAATTGATTTTTAAAAAATTACAGTAAAGATTAATGTTAGAAAATATTTCTATTTTGAATTAGAAACAACATTAAGCAGCACTTCATGTTTCCAACATGATAAATACATCATCATATTAGAATGATTTCTAAAGGATCATGTGACACTGAAGAAATTATGCTGAAAACTCAGCTTTGATCACAGAAATAAATTATATTTTAAAGTAGCCTGTATTAAAATAGAAAATTACATTTATAATAATATTTAATTTAATATTTATAATAATAATAATAATAATAATTTACAATATTAATTTTCTTTCTGTATTTTTGATCAAATAAATGTATGAGCATAAAAGATTTATTTTAAAACATTAAAAATAGTAATGTTTGCAAACCTTTGACCAGTACTGTACGTCTGAATCATAGGTCTGAATAAATCATAGACAGTAAAGGAATAAATAAACTGTTTATTGTAAAATTCGTGTTTTCAAAAAGCAAAACAGGTCTTCGTAGAACAATACCGCCACCTAGTGTCTATACTTGTCACATTACACCGACGCAGCATATATAGACATGAATATTAATGACGTTACGCTGCGGTTGAGAACATACTGACGTCACGGAAAGTACTTAATATTCATAAGCAAAGCCTTTGCAATAGTAGGATCAAGAAACACTTCCGGTCCGCAAGAAAACATGTCGGCGCCCTTGCGAATGTCATGTTGTTGACTGTCTTTATATTGTATGTGTTCAAGCGCTACCACAAACACGTTAAGCTTATATTTTTATAATATTACAGACGTTTCTGCATGCAGTTACCGGATTTATAAGGTATGTGGGGGTTTTACGCGAAAACTGGTTCATATTATGCATGCTCTCAATTATTTTAGTTGGTCATTATGGCATTTTATAAATATGTTTTTTTTTATTTACTATTTTTTGTTGTCAACAGGGAATCTGTCAATCATGGTCCATTTGTGTAAGTACTGTTAATGCTATGACGCTATTTTGGTCCTGGAGACTCACATTTGGGATGTTTCTCTAATCTAATGCTGGCTTCTCGTGCTGTCGGAAATATCCTACTTGCACTTCTGAAGTCGTGATCTTATCGCATTCAAATTTTGACTTGAGAGGGCGTTCGTGTCCTATTTATTAACTAGGAAACTAGTAACTTATTTCCGATAATTCCGATAGCACGTGAAGGCAGCATAACACACAAGATTCAACTTAACATCTGAAGTTGAGACTCCATATTCTGAAATGTGTGTCAAATAAAAAAGGCACCTAAAATGTAGCATCCATGACCAGGAGTCTTCCTGCTTTACTTCAGAATTAAAACCTCATGTTTCTGATACAAAACACTGCCTCTGCTGCCCTAGTGAAAAATAAATAGCATAAAATAAATGTATTACTTCGGACTCGGAGCCCTTAAAGGGACCTTTGCAAAAATAAAAACATACAGACTTTCAGAAACGTACTCGTGAGCAAGTGAAAGTCTGTATATTTCTATTTTCGCAAAGGTCCCTTTAGGGGCTCCATATATTTCAAATTCATTTTGGTATAGCCCGTATACCAGAAATACATTTTCATATGTATGTACTTAATATAAATACCTGCAATCGTACTTTTGGAATACTAAATTGATATTGCCTACTTAAAGTCTGCTAAATTGGAACGACTAATTTTGTACTTAAAGGGATATTGTTCCAAAAATGAAAATGATCCAATGATTTACTCACCCTCAAGCCATCCTAGGTGTATATGACTTTCTTCTTTCAGCCAAACACAATCTGAGTTGTATTTAAAAATATCCTGGCTCTTCCAAGCTTTGTAATGGGAGTGAATGGTAATTTGAAGCCCAAAAAAACAGATCTATCGAAACTCAAGCTTCTCCAACATTTCTCTTTAAAAAATTCTCGTTTTAGACTTCTAATTCATGACGATTTTTTATTTTTTTTTGCTCTATCCTCTGCACTTCAGCGTTTGTCAATACGTCATGCGTCGGGTCAGAGGTCACACTCACGTTCGGCCGTTATCGGACTCCAGTGATTACAGGTCATAAACTTATTAATTTGGATATTCTTACAAAAAACACATCGCTTCTCTTCAAAAGGCCTTTATTAACCCCTGGAGCCGTATGGATTACTTTTATGAAGGATGGATGCACTTTCTGGAACTTCAATACTATTCACTCCCATTATAAAGCTTGGAAGAGCCAGGTTATTTTTTTAAGATAACTCCGATTGTGTTCGGCTGAAAGAAGAAAGACATTCACCTAGGATGGCTTGAGGGTCAGTAAATCATGGGATCATTTTCATTTTTGGGTGAACTATCCCTTTAAGTACAAAATTAGTTGTTCCAAATTTTTACATCTATCCCTATGTAACTATCCCTTTAATGCAAAAATAGTACTGAGGTCCGACTAAAGATATATTTAAGGATATTTGATTGTGCTAAAGTGGAACTATTGCAAGTACACTTTCAATATCTTGCATTTAAAGACTATTATACTAATAGTGGTATTAAAGGGATAGTTCGGCCAAAAATGATATTTAACACATGCATTACTCACCCTCAAGCCGTTCGAGATGCATATGTCAATCTTGTTTCAGACGAACACATTTTCAGTTATTTTAGAAAATGTCTTAGACCCTTCAGTGGATATAATGTGAAGCAATGGGGTCCACCTCCTTTAAGTCCCAAAATGTGCATATATCCTTCACAAAAGTAATCCATCCGGCTCCAGGGGGATAAACGAAGGCCTTCTGAGGGTAATCCGTGCGGTTTTGTCGTAAAAATATTAGTGCTGTCAAACGATTAAAATATTTAATCGCGATTAATCGCATTAATGTCATAGTTAACTCGCGATTAATCGCATTTAATCGCACATTTTTATCTACTCTAAATGTCTCTTGATTTCTTTTTTTCCCATTATTTTTTTCTCATTTTAATGCTTTTCAACATGGAAAAGTGGATCGGCTTGCTTTGTGCAAATGTTTTTTATTGAAAACAATATTGGCATATACTGTTCAATTTCACACTAAAACATTATCACTTGGAGCAAATAATCTCTCACACAATATAACACTGTCCATCAATAAAAGGGTGAAATAAATACTGACGAGGTCCTGATATTGACGAGGGGTCGGAGAATTCGCATCAGCTGTGTGTGTGTGTGTGTGTGTGTGTGTGTGTGTGTGTGTGTGTGTGTGTGCTGGCCATCATCAAGTGGTATTCAGACTGGACGTGCTGCGATGATGATAGCTCAGTTCACAACGACAAAACACACAGATCACTTTGGTCTCGTCAATGGAACCATTTGGCAACTTTTTAAAAGTAAACTTTCCATTCAGAATCTTATTGGCATCCATTTCGGCGTCTCACGCTCGTCATCCACTCAAAACTGGACGTTTTGAACGTTCCTATAACATTCAGAAATAACGTTTTTATAACTTAATGGGAACGTTATGAAAACATTCTTATAACCTAAAATTGTTAGCTGGGGAAGAGGAGAGATTCGCGATTGCACTGAACACGTTTTAAGTGCAGGCATATTCTCTGAGTGAGCCCAGAGAAAATTCTTACAAGAGCAGCGTGTATCTGAGAGCGCGCGCGACTCGAGCAGAGAGATTCGTGCTCGGCACATTATATTCCGCGCGCGAGCAGAGAGATTCGCGCTCGCGCATCCGGCTCGCAAGCCCAAACAAGTGTGTGCGGGTGCGGCGTGCCTGTTGTTTTGTTTCCGGTCTAGCTAGATCCGCTTGCGCTTTCAAAACGTCCTCGCGTGCCGCAAGCCATTGAAATTAATGGGTTTCATAGCGCAGCGGCCCGCATGCCGTCCTGTTGCAAAAGCATGTGAAAAACAACCTACAAAGTTTGCTAGGCCAAAAAGACCGTTAATCGCGCGATAAAAAAATTAACGCCGTTAAAATGGGTTTGCGTTAACGCCGTTAATAACGCGTTTAACTGACAGCCCTAAAAAATATACATATTTAAAACTTTATAAATGAAAATATCTGACTTTCGGCACCGATCGACGCGCGTTCACGGGTGATGGAAGTCGGCGTACGAGGTAGGACGTAGCGTAGGAACCGTCGTGACGTAGACGTTCTTTTGCTCTGCACTCTGGCTGCGCAGGCGCGTTCGTTCTACGTCACGACGGTTCCTACGCTACGTCCTACCTCGTACGCCGACTTCCATCACCCGTGAACGCGCGTCGATCGTTGCCGGAAGTCAGTCGTATCCACTGAAGGGTCTAAGACATTTTCTAAAATAACTGAAAATGTGTTCGTCTGAAACAAGATTGACATATGCATCTCGAACGGCTTGAGGGTGAGTAATGCATGTGTTAAATATCATTTTTGGCCGAACTATCCCTTTAAAACATTTTAAATAGGCTTAATATTAAGAAATGTGCATTGTGCAATAAAGAAGTACTCCAAATAAAGTTTAATTATAATATTTATACCAGTTAGTCTCAAGCAATGTGTTAATGAATTTGTAGTATACTTAGTATGTAGTATATTTTCTTCACTAGGGTGTTTATGCATTGTCTTTGTTTTAGCATCTTTCCTGCTCAAGAAATATCACGGTGGGCATGTGGTCATCAGGCTGGCATTAGGAGGCGCCACTAACAGACCTTTCTACCGCATTGTGTCTGCTTATAATAAACGGGCGAGAGACGGTAAATATATCGAGCAGCTGGGCTCATATGACCCTCTCCCGAACATTCATAATGAAAAACTTGTCGCCTTCAATTACGAAAGGATCAAGTACTGGATTGGATGCGGCGCTCATACAACACCACCAGTGGCCAAACTTCTAGGTAAGGAGAAATTATTTTTTCATTTAAAAACAATGCTTAGCGATTACAGCAAAAGTCAAGTCACCTGATAACCGCATACTTTACCACACATTCTGCGACACTGATCTTTGTTTCCTCCGAGTAGGATTGGCTGGATTTTTCCCACTGCATCCAATGACAATAACGGAAGCAGAGCGGAGACAGAAAGCCACTTCGACGGAAGTTGTTCAAACAGACAGTCAAGACCAAGTGGAGCAGTAAAACCAAAATAAAGTGCTAATGATTGTTTTTTGTTTTTTTTATATATATTTTAAGGATTTTGGCAACAAGCTTCAGCACAGGCTTAAACTCCACGTGATTCAAATTTCCTTGTTACCCAATAAAATATAAAACAGCTTGGAAGATAAGAGACTGAAAGTGAATTCTGTAATCATTAAACTGTTGTAAACACATTCTCTCGTCACTGAGAACTAATGATCAGTTAACAAAAGAAATTAATAAATGATCTGGCCCGGGGAAACTAAACTCAAAAGTTGAAATGAACAGTGTTCTTTGTTTAATTTCAGGTCAACTGATCTGAACCTACAAATGTCTGCACACAATTGTGTAACTCCTTTATAGAAAGCCATGTACCGATGTATTTAACTGGATACACCCATGCACTGGTATTAAATCATTTTTATAATTTGTCAGAGGGCACAAATTCTTTCTGAGGTCAGCTTATTAAATACAAGAGTAATAAACATCAGCTATAAGCCCAGCAAATGCATTTTGTAAATCTATAACTTAAATCAGAGGAATGCGGGACGGTGCTTGTTAACGGACACACACGCCCGGCTCTTACACACTGTACATGTTTTTTAATGAGTCCTCTGACGTAGTCTGCTCATTCTTTTGTCATATACTATGTTAGTAAAAGTTTTTGATTTTGCTTGGCTCTGTAATTGCTGCTGCTATATTTTTGCATTCTAATGACTTTAAATATGTAAATGGTTTTAGAAGAACATACTGTTGAGACTATGACATTTCCATGTAAATGTAGTGAATCTGATTGCTGTTGGAAAGATAAGATGCAATACTGTTTGAATATTATTTTCTTATCTTTCATGATGGTTGTAAAACGCATGTAAAGTGTAATTCAATTTATCAATGGCGTGTCAAAAGATTGTATAAATGGCTGTGTATTCTGGCTTGCCAACATGAGTAATAGCTGAAATAGAATAGTGTCTTTGTTTTATACATTTAAACTTTGTTTTATTATTTTATTATGTAATAGTATTATAAGACTGCAGCTGCAGCTCTACTCTGCTGGCAAGCCACAATACATACATAATACGCTACACAAATTAATTGGATTGTTCTCTTTAGAAATGCACTATTGCTATTTTTATTTATTTATTTAGTGTTGCCTATATTATACAGCATAAGACAGAAGGTTAAAATATGAAATCTATCAAGAAAAAGATTTCTCAAACGTCACTCTTGGACACTCAGTTGTTGGTAACAAAAAAAAAAAAAGATTTCTTTATTGAAATAAAGTTGTAGTAAAATTAAATATAAACCTTAAAAAAAACTTTGATTAAAAAATAAGATAAGTTGAGTACTAAAATTGACTAAAACTGGGATACAAACAGCTAAGTAGAAATATATACACTACCGTTCAAAAGTTTGGGGTCAGTGAGAATTTTATTTTTATTTTTTGGAGGAAAGAAATCAATACTTTTATTTATCAAGAAATAATTAATTTGATCGAAAGGTACAGTAAAGACATTTATAATGTTACAAAAGTCTTTTGAACTTCCTATTTATCAAAGAATCCTAAAAAAAAAAAAAAAACTGTACAACTGACAGACCAACAACTGTTTCAACATTGATAATAATAATAATTGTTTCTTGAGCATCAAATCCTCATATTATACTGATTTGTGAAGGATCATTTGACACTGAAGACACTGACACTGGTGATGCTGAAAATTCAGCTTTGATCACAGGAATAAATTACACTTTACTATATATTCACACAGAAAACAGCTGATTTACACTGGAATAATATTTAATACTATAACTGATTTTTGTTGTATTTTTAATCAAATAAGCGCAGCCATGGTTAGCAGAAGAGAATTCTTTTAAAAGTATTTAAAATCGTACCGACCCCAAACTTTTGAACGGTAGTGTATATATATATATATATATATATATATATATAAAATAAAAAAAAGAATAAAAAAAATGACAAAAACACATCACTAAATCAAAATGAAATATAATATATAAAAATAAAAACTAATTCAAATAAATTCATAAATAATAGTATAAAAAACAATTCATAACTATAATAGTATATAAATCATTCTAAAATAACACTGGTGTTGGCCAAGCAGGCAAAGTGATGAGAACAATCAGTCAATACAAAATCCTCAAGAAGTAAGCGAGAAACAAAGGCGAGTCCACACCCTAAAATACACCACGTAATATGTCATGGAACGTGGAAACATGAATGAGATTTCATGTCCGTTCTTTCCACCATTGATGTCAGCTTGTCTTACTCATTTATACACAATTGTGTTACTTATTGCTGCAGTCTTAAATTGAAATAAGTCGACAATTGAAAGTCATAACAGTTCTCAATTCATCAGCCACACAATGCAAACTACAAATTAACTGAATCACACTACTTAAAAAATGCATGCATATAAAGGTAACAAATTATTAGACAAGATTATTTAAATTATTCAAAAGAAAAATCAGAATTATTGGAAGATTTAAGCAAGACTTGACTTCAAATTAAATGTAAAATTAAAAGCAATAAATTTATCGAACTATTTGTATGTATAATCATAAACTGGAGGTAAAAAAAGAAAGCCTGTAACAAAAAAAGGATACTTTGTGGGAGACACAATACACTTTCTACAAACTCTTATAAATTGAAATCTACAATTCAGAAACAAAAATAAGCACAGTACTGAAACCTACACAAGAACATCAGTCAGTTTCACTGTTCCAACCATCCCTACAGTGTTCAGGGCTTTGCTCAGGCCAGTCTAGCTCTTCCAAATGTCGCTTTTGTCTTGCTTAGTTCAGGACACTTTTCCCGGTTTCACAGACAAGACTTAAAGGGTTAGTTCACCCCAAAATGAAAACTCTGTCAGTAATTACTCTCCCTCATGTTGTTCAACCCCGTAAGACTTTCGTTCATCTTCGAAACACAAATTAAGATATTTTTGATTAAATCTGAGAGCTGGATCACTCCTCCATAGGCTTCTTAAGGGATTGAAACTGGCCGGCCCAAAAGTTATTAAAGACATCGTTAAAATAGTCCGAGTGACTACAGTGGCTCAATCTTAACTTTATCAAGCGACGAGAATACTTTTTGTGCGCAAAAAAAACAAACAAAAATAACGACTTTATTCAACTATTCATTTCCTTCTCTGTGGGCCGTGAGATTTCACGTAGTGTAACAGCGCAGCGCTTCTGTGTTGTACGTCACACGCAGGCTCACTATTGGCCGACGCTGGTCATGTGTGTGTCTGTGTGATGCGTGTGACGTAGATTTAATCAAAAATAGCTTAATTTGTGTTCCGGAGATGAACGAAAGTCTTACGGAGTTGGAACAACATGAGGGAGAGTAATTACTGACAGAGTTTACATTTTGGGGGGAACTAACTCTTTAAGCCTAATCCTAGACATTCACAAAGATAATGATACAAAAATGGCAAAAGAAATCAAAACTGTTTTAAAAACTTTTGGTCTGACTCAGCATGTACATGGACCCACACACAATCGTGGACACACTCTAGATTTACTTATCAGTAAGGGTCTAAACATTTCATCGATCGTTATTAAGGACGTAGCACTGTCTGATCATTTCTGTATTTTCTTTGATATATTGATCTCTCGTGCCATTGAAGCTAGATCTGTGTCTGTCAAGAAGAGATGCTTAAATGAGAACACTAGTGTGCTATTTATGAAGGCCATATCTTTAAAACCAAGCATATCTGCTGATTTTCTCCTTGATTATTTTAACTCGAAGGTTAAAGGTGTAATAGATTATATTGCTCCTGTGAAAGTCAGGAAGAATAGTGGTAGACAAAAAGCACCTTGGAGAAACTCAACAGCTGTGCAAAATATGAAAAGAACATGCAGAAGAGAAGAGCGCATGTGGCGGAAGACAAAACTTGTAGTCCATTATAATATCTACAAAGACAGCATCCATGCTTTCAATATGGAACTAGGCAAAGCTAGACAGACTTTCTTCTCAAATATTATAAACAGCAACTTAAACAACACACGCACTCTTTTTGCTACTGTAGAGAGACTGACAAACCCCCCAAGCCAGATTCCCAGTGAAATGCTCTCAGACGGCAAGTGCAGTGAGTTTGCTTCTTTCTTCTCTGAGAAAATCAATAATATCAGAAAGGTGATCAGCACATCCTTGAGTTGCTCTGGGGTCAGACAGATCAGACCACAACCTGAGAAAGTAGTTACTATGTCTATTTTCGAAGAAATTGATGGCAAAATATTGGAAGAAACCGTACAGCACCTTAAAACATCAACCTGCGCCCTTGAGCCACTTCCCACATCTTTCTTCAAAAGTGTGTTAAACAGCTTAGAAGCAGATCTCCTAAAAGTGGTTAATGCCTCACTTCTTTCTGGTAGTTTTCCAAACTCCCTGAAAACTGCAGTTGTCCAGCCTGAAGGGTTGGTCAAAATCCCTTGCCTCTTCAAATACATATATAATCATATATCATTTTGAATGGTTATATACTTCCTTTATAAAAATCAATAACCAAATATATTCATTATCACATAATAATTTTTATATTCTTGTGCTTGTGAAATTATATTTTCTTAAATGCATGGATGTAAGTAACCAGTTTCTTTTAGGTGCATTCCAATCTTACTTTGAGATTGCACGTAGTACACGCAGGACACGAAGGCCACGTAACCCACAAGGCCGTTTGTCTCTTTCTCTGGGATCAGTAGAAAGGTTAGAGGGTCCTAAAGGCAGCGTGGGCACATATGATTCTTCGCTGGACATATGGTCAAGCTATATTGAGCGTTACTATCAAACTTTAATTGTTGTATTAAAATGTATTCTTTCCAGTATATTTCCTTCCTTGGGAGTAAATGCCAGTTATCTGTTTTTCTCCTAAATGAGTGAATGTTTTAGCATTATGTTTTGGTATACTTAACTGATAATAAGGAGCTCAGACTCTTTTCAGCCTTGATGGGAGCTGTTATTTGCTAGTGTCTGTTATTTGTGTGTGTGTTCGTATGACATTCTATGTAG